AAAGTAGAAGAGAACATAGAAGATAAACAAAATGCATAAGAAAACTTTAAAGAAAACTAACACCAAAGTAATTTATATTCCCTGAATTAGATAAAAAAATAATTAAGTAAAATTTTTAGCACGGGGCCTTCGCACGGAGGTGGGAACGAAAGAGTTCATGTATTCCTCAAAATTAAACCAAAAAGTGGACAGCAAATGCAAATAAAATGCATAATTTAAATAATTACATGTAAAACCAGAGTGACAGAGATTACAGTGTCAAACTGAAAAATAAGAGGACTTTCAAGTGAAAATTAAATCAGAGGAGAGTAATTAATACTCCTGCTGCTCCTAGACACCTTCAGATTACAAAAAAAGGTACTCATCCTAAATAAACAAACTGCGAAGTCCTTGAAGGTTGGTTTGAACAAAGTCCATCGAAAACCTCAAAAACTGTAAACTATTTGAAGGTTTTTCAAAGGTGTTATCATGATTGAATGATCCTGGATCTAGTTATTAAAAAGAGATATGTTTCGAAACAAATTGTGGAACTGATATAGCTGAAACTAATAGGCAACAGACCGTAAAATCGTAAAAAACTTTTTTCTAAATGAAAGGAATCTACTTAACTGCAAAAACTGTTATCAGCTGCGAACACACTGGATGGAAATTTCTTTTTTTTCTACAGAGTAAACCAGATAATTCCTAAAAGACTACCCGCTATAGAAAAAATATTCTGCTATAACCCCATACACTAAATTACAAATTATTTTTGATGAAACTTTTAAACACCACCATGAATAAAGAACAAAGAATTAAGCTTTAGAAAGTAAAGAAAATGAACAGTAAAAAGTTTCCAGACAAAATCAAAAAAAAAAACTGAGACGTTACTAGAGACGATTTTCTGAAAATTTAAAACACTAAAATGACTTACTGGAATCTGACTCGGTCTACTTCAAATTTTGTTTCAAAAATACCGGTAGTCATAACACGACATCGCAAAATATCCTGAAAAAGCTCTTTCTGAACCTTTGTAATAACGAAACCTCACTAGCCTTTACGCGATCTACTAAAGACAGATCGTTCAGTTTCCTAGTTGCCAACAAAAAAAGATTTTTCTTTTCAAAATGTTGAATAATAAGAGCATATCTCCCGCTATCCGCAACAAAACAAAGAATTTAACAGTCTTACCAGGGAAAATGAATATACAGAAATTTCATTTGAAAAAGTCACTGTGAGCTACCTGTTCAGAAGGAATATAATCCGACCGCCGGATCATTGCTATTTTGTCCAAGAAACTAAAATTATTTGCTGTCAAATCCCTACTTCTTTGGAAGTCTATAATTTGAAAAAGTACTACATTTCAGAAGACACCTGTACGATTTAAACCTTAACCTGAATAAAAAGTAACCATTTTTCGCAATTTACTTTCCCTCCTCACTTGGCTAAATTCAACTAATGCTTCAGATATGATCCCGACACTTTCTTATAATTGCCAGGTTTAAAAGCCAATTCGCAATCAACAAGCAAATCATAAAAAGGAAAAGGCTAATAAACTTCAATAAAATAACATCAGCATAGTAACGTAACGCAGACATAGGAAAAAATATTTCACCCACTATTTTGCACAATCAATCAGCTGATACTCATTACTTCGCTCAAAACACGTCTGTACACCCCGATCGCTCCAACACTTTATAACGTGGTCATAAAATATCTGAAATACATTGAACCAATGGAAAATAAATTCAGTTTAATAGTATTGAAACCGTAAATTTTTTAAGCGTCAAACATAACAAGAAAAGATTTGTCGTGAAAAACTATGAGTCGTGGTTCTGGCTAAGAGTAAAGTAAACAATGAATGAACAATATACCTTGTAACATGACATATATATAGCGAGGCATGTTAAATCTCACAAACTCCCTTTCTACCCCTACTAATCCTCATAAATTGTCTTTTTATTTACGGTTTGCCATGCCACTGACAATCTCGCTAAAACAAAATGAGCGTCTGCTGAACCAGTTAAAACATTTAGGAACCAAAGCTTTATATGGTTATGATTCCAAGTCGGTCTTCGTTCATTCAAAATACCCATACTCGAAAGACCGTATAGTCAGTAAAAAGCTCTAAGAATAGGCAACCAAACTAAGCTAGTCGGACTGATAAGAACTAAGGACCACCGGCCGGTATTCTGAGTTACGTGTTGTCCTTTTAAGCTAGTATTCGCTGAATAAATCTGCTGCAGTTCCGAAAAGTTTTCTGTCCACCCAGGATGTTCATTTATAAGCCACTGATTGGAAAGATCCAAACCCAAGCTACTCAAGTAATCCAGATGAAAAATCCAACCTCTATAGTTACACGTCTTTCCTTGAAACCATTTTAGTACGACCTTATGGGAGTCTGCGACATTATTTTCATGATGCAGTGCAATAGTACAAGCTCCTACAAAAACGTAAAGAAACGAAAAAAAAAAGAACGACATACAACTCAAAAAGCAGCTTTTTACGCCCCCACCTCTAACTAGTATACTTGAACAGTTTCTACTAAGTTTTCCAATGAGCGTAGACTGGCTCCGAAATGTACATACTGAATAAGCGAGAATTCTCCAAAAATGCAAAAAACAAGAACGCGAAAAAAGACACATAACTTGAAAAACCAAACCTTGACACTTGATAAAGCTATGCCTACGCAGCTCACCCTTAGATCATTCCAATCAGCCCAGTCTAGTTCCCAAACGAATGCTGGAGAAATAAAGTTTTTCGGAACCGCATCAAATTTATAGGAGAAACATTTACTGTCTTGAAGAAAAAACAAGTAAGTCGAAACACTGACCGACAACCTACAGTCGGAATCAGGTTAAATCAGTTGCTAAATCTTAGAGCATACTAAAAACTAGGCGATATCTCCAAAAAGAGCATCCTGAATGAACTGAAACTGAACCGGAACCATATCTGTATCAAGCATCACTACCAAAGAGTTAGAACTGACCGAGCAGACATACATTTCATTTTGGTGGGACTTTCAGCAACAGACTGGGAAAGAAAAGCTTTACAACTGATAGATAATTACCAATACGTTAATTACAAAAAATCATACGATTGCCTTCCATTACAGAGCCTATTGCTTCACTATAGTTCTGCCCAACAAAAAACAAATGAAATCGCACTAATTACTCGTGGCCCTGGTAATGAACGCTTGCAGAAAGCCTCACCCCAAAAACAGTGAATTACAATGAAGATAATACTAAACTGGTACGCTCAAATGCGACTTAATTTGAAAAACTGAAATAATTTTCTAAATCAGTTTCGCAGCACCTAAGCATAATGCTAAATAATCAGAATTCAGAATGTCAAGACTTTTAAAATAGTCGATCAAAAAAAACTTTCAAAAGACACAGGAGAGCAAAAAAAAAAAAGGCGATAAACTCAAGTGAAGAAAACAATTGTTTAAAAGTTCCTTAAGAAGTAGAGTATTATCACAGATAAACCAAATATGTCTTTGAAATTTTATAAAAACGAGAAGCCTGAGAAGTTAATTAAAGCCAGATCACTAAACAATTTTAACCATCGGTGATTTCCCACTAAAAAAAAGAATGACCAATTCTACGATTTCATCACCGGTATTTGGCAAAAACTCTTCAAATTTTTTCTCAAGTTTACTCATCACTAATAATTGGCAAAAACTCTTCAATTTTTATAAAATTCTCAAGTTTTTTATTATTCAAACGCAAAAATTATTCTGAAACACTTGGGTATGAACCATTATTCTATATGTAACATCCTCACTTGGGGGTAATCAAAGTCTGGTGACTGAGTTTCTGTAAGAAGATACTCTTTACTCTCAGCAGTCGCTTGATTATCCAGTTGCACGGGGGGATCTATCTTATTCATTGACTCCAAAATAACCTGCAATAGTAGAAATACTCAATTAGCAGC